ACAAGTGTTCAATCAGAGAAGAATGCATTAACTTATTGCAAACTTAAGAAACTTTTAGCCTGTTCAACTAAACTGAAAACGATCAGATTATCTCAGCTCTTTTGTTGTGCAGTTTTTTAACTGCTCACTTATTTAACAGTATTGTGCATGGCAGCTATGATATGCCTGAAGACAGGGTTTGTCACTGGTCACTGTCCGCACAGTTACTTTGCTGCCTGCTTTGGCATCAAACTCAAAATCCAAAATGGATGTAACTTATAGAAAGAATATCAGTGATTAAGCATAAATTGCTCAAGTCTGATACATAAACGTGCAGCCGAAGTTTACATAACGTATCGGCGAGTGAAAAGATAAATGTGAAAACTCAGCTGAAGATTTTCATAATACGCAAGATAGAGGTCAGGAGGGAAACGTCCTCATGGAGATGGACGAGTTAATGTGAAAAGATTTGATGCTTCATCACATTTGAAGTCTCTATGTGCTTCAAGGCTTTTGACTTGTCATAATGAAAATCAGTAGGTCAGTGCTAAGTTGTGAGCCATTGGTAGTGATTGAGCTACTTTTCCTTGGTGTGCGCAGTCTCACATTCACCGCCTTCTGTGTAATATACCCTCATCTCTGATTGAGCGGCTACAGCTGCCTCGCTGCTCGCCTATTTTCAGTACCAGCCCTGGTTGACCGAGGGGTCCCAAACTCCTTAACCCCCACAGCGTCTTTCTCTTTGCGGCTTGTGTGTGCATTTATGTGCAAGTGTGTGAGGCGCAGCTGTGCGAACAGCTGTCTATAGTATCGTGCTTCCTCTGTGTCTCTACACACACTCAGAGATGAGCTCAGACGGCACCTTTCAAAAGTGCCTCCAACTTATGAGAACAAGCAGCATTCTTATGGCCCTCATGGGAGATCTTTAGTGAAACACTGTGAGACAAGTGACTGACAAGGAAGAAGAAAAAATATATAAAATCTACACTTTAAATATTTTCCCCTTTCAAGCCTAAAATAGTGAAATCTATAATGATGTATTCAGGAGGGGATTTTGTGTGTATTTGTACTGTGCATGTCTTGTGTGCATATATTTACATGCATATGCTTGCATGTTTATTCATGCATGTGTATGTGGTCATGCTGTTTTCATCCATGAAATGAGACATGCATGTTTGTTACAATGGGACTTCTTTGGATTGCGATGGATCTTGTGAAGCTTGCTGAGATTTGGCTTTTCTACATAACGTGACGGCATTATCCTTCTCCTCTCTCTGGATTTCATTGGATGTGCATCCACGGTCGTCACCGTTTTGTGAAAAGGGACAACTCAATCTGTCGACCAGCTTTTGTTATCATTTGGTCCACAGATGCTCGTTATCTGAGCCGCAAGTTTATAGGATTGTGATCCAGGCATATGGATCTAAAATCTCCACGGTTAAAGAAGATTAAATGGTTATTCTTGCATAGAGGAAATATTTGTTGGGAGACGGTGAATTCATCAGCTTCAAACTCGCCCTTAAAAACCACAAATCATCAAAGAACAACTCTGTTTCCTCCTGCACTTAACATGAATGCATGTAAATCAATAATAAAATCGTCAATCTTTAATGATTAGATCAATAACCATGATGGGGAGAGGTTATCTCCAGAGGACATTAGAAGCTTTAAGTCTTAATTGAATATCTCAACGGAAAGAGAGACGAGATCCACAGAGGAATGTCAATCATAACCCCGCTGGGAAACAGTGAATATGACTAGGCCTCCGATAGATGTGTGGTCGTGAAATAGCCTGCAGATGATAAAAACGAAGCAACCTCCTGGGTCTTGCAGCTAACAGGCTCCACAGCCAACCCCACTGGCTTTGCTAGAGCTAAGAGCCCAAGCTTGTCAAAACTGATCGGGTTCACGCAGATGAGTTCATATTCTGATTCCCCACGGTGCTAAAGCATGGGCATGTGTGTCCTACATATATGCTCTTGCACGCCTGCTTACATGTTACGTACCCTGTTTGCTGATATAACAGCTCTCGGCAGGACTGGGACATGTACACAACAAACAAGGAGGATCAAAGTCATTTCTGCTATTCTTGTGCTTCATGAACCATTTTGAACTGTGAGACTATCAACCGAATCAAAGGGAGGGGGTGGAAACAGGCTTGTCAAACAGCGCATGATGGAGAAATTAATTATTTCTTTGCATATCTGAGGCTTACACCTCCTCCCTCAATCCCTCAATCCTCTGTCTGACAAATCCAATTAGCATGACATGAACATTATGGTTAGGGTTGTTTGCACTCTGCAACCAGTATCCTGGCAAGGATATGGGTAGGCAGGACACCAGACACATGGGCCAGACAGACACGGAGGCCTGGCATGGAGGGGTCTCCATTCGGCCTGTAACCTGGCTCCAGCTGGAAGACCCCGGTTCCTTGACAGGTTGGCAGTGCTTACTGCTCCCTCACCCTCTGGTCTTCACATCTGTCTTCCAATAACAACCCTTTCTCTCTTTTCACTTGCCAATTCATTGCTTTCCTACCTCTACCGCCTTTGACCATCTTATCCCAGAGAAATTGGATATTCCCCTCGATAGATCTAATTTTATCGCTCCTGTGTAAATTTTTGGAGGCTAAAGTAAAGATTTTTCCAAGGCCACACTAGCAAGATTCATCCAGCTATTGCTTTTAGGTGGTTGAAGTATTGTGAATAGTGCAGAAACCTACAACTTTGCATTGATTCTCCTTCTAATTTTTTTTTACAATAACCACAAATTAGGAAATAGGGGCATATAATGGGGTAAACGAGCCACTGTGAGCTAAAACACTTCACCTAATTGCAGCTAGAAAAATTAAATGAGCGCCTTTAAATTACCAAACACAATCATGGAGTTAGTCAGGCGGCTATAATGAAGCTCTGAACTTTCTTTCCCCCAGAACAGCACAGAGCACACATTGCATGGTGATGTCTGGGAAGCTGTCAGGTTGTGCAGTCTCTCGCCCGGCCCGTGCCAGTGTAGAGATTTGTATTCAACTCAAAGACGGCCTGCAACATCAAAGTGTCTTTGAAGCACCACTTGATGCTGCACAATGGGACAGGTGAAGAAAAACAATGCAACACTGCAACACTCTGAACTACTGTACCCAGAATGCACCACTCAATTCCTAAAATAAAAGAAGGACACCTCAATGCCATGATGGAAAAAACAAAACCACACATGTGCTTTTACAAAAGTAGAACAAAGGTTGTTTTTCTTCATTATTTCTCTGAGATATTTTTCTGTTTCTGCTCCCAGGACTTAAGTATGATATCATAAACACCGGAGACAAATGTTGGTGACAGTCAAAGCAGGGAGACTAAATAAAATATGACAGGCTAAATAAAGAGCTGCAGGAATCTGTAGTATGTCTTTCAGAAACCGTAATTACTGTCAGATCGGTTTACGATGGCAGCTGGGAAAGACTTTTACTTATATCCACTGTAGGAAATCACCTCTTTACATTTTCAAGTTACTTGGCAGATTGAAAAATATCTCAGGGTTTACACCATAATTTAAGTTTAAAATAAAACTTAAAATAATGTAATAATCATGACCGATACCCCATAGATTCTCATTCTTGCTCATTCTTCTCTGAACCACAGACTTCAACCTTTCAATCATATGAAGGTCAGTTGTAAAATGTAGCTATAGATTATAATGCATGACTTATACTGTAAATACCACAGGCTGCCCTGAGCACAGCCATCGACCTCAACTTGACACGTAAGGTACAACTCATGCTTGTGCACATATTGTCCAATTGTCCATGTTGCCTGGAAGCACCCCCTGCATGTTTAGTCCAGTTTAATAGCAACTCAAAAATACCCACACAGACACACACACACAAATTCAGGGTAATCTTAGTTTTTGTTAGGTATGACTAAGCCTGATGTGGCTGGCTGGGTGCTGCTGTTGACCTGAATGAATGCAAGCTACAAAAGATGCTCAGATTGCCATAGATTGTGATACCATTTTCTCTGAGGCCCATTTTGTAAACAATACCTCACCACAGATTGACCTTGAAGTGAAATTTCAAGTCAGGAGAAAAAGAAAATGACTCATTCAAAGGTACGAATCTGAACTGTCGCTGCTGCGGTTTTATACGAAGGGATTAGGTTGTACTGCATCCAGGAAGAGAGGAGCATATGAACAGAGCGGGTGAAAAAAACTTTGAATAAACTTTGCAGCCTCTCCATAAATCAAGTTCTGACAGTGAAAAGATATTCGGTGGCAACATTTCATCATTCATTTTTCAAGTTGAAGCTGAACCCATGGGTCTGAACTCCTTATCCTCCCACTAATGTGACTTTGGCTGGTATGGTAATGGGATTGGTCCACTAGAAATAAAGAATAATCACATTTCTGCAGGAAAATACACACAAACAACCGCTTTATCTGTCTCTACCTCTTTCTCCCAGAATCTAACACTCTTCGCTGAGACTCTCGGGTAGAAAACCATTATGCATTTCACAGCAATCAAACCAGGTTCCTGAGCAATTACTTCCGATCGCAGCCCAGTTGGCCTGGACACTGTTTATCCCTGATGGCGAGGGAATCCATCGGGCAGAACTCACCAACAGCTGAGAGGGAGGGTTATTTCTTTTTCATGTGCAACGCGCCTTTGTCAGCATATATGCCTCCCCAAAGACGTCTTCATGATGGCTCAGTGCTCATTTTAATTAACACATAAGCCTGTTGATGTTAATTAAAAAGCAGGCAGACGATTCCCCATCAGAAAAAAGATCACACAGAGGGGAGAGGGAGTATCTGAACACAACGCAAGATACAGTGGATTTTGTGAAGCCCTCTTGAAACATATAGCCTACATCACAAGTGGGTTCATCAAACCAAATGCATCACACTGATGAATGTTGGTTCTTATTAAGGGCGCAATAGAGATTCTCCCAAAATGATAATAATCTATGACACAGATGTAACCCAGTGTGCATCTGGTTTAATTGTGCTGTCATGTGGTGTGGACTTACTTCATGGGCTTGAAAAGTGCTTGTCCGTAGTTCTGGAAAGTCATGATCAGCTTCAGCTGGGTGCCTCCTGATTTCATGGCTGGGAAGAAAACAAAGCTGACGTCAGATCACTGTGTAAATATCATGAGGCGTAAACAGACTCGAACCAACATAAAGTGTCTTAGAAGGTTGCAAAGCCATCAGAATATCAGCGTGTCTTGTCATCTACAAGGCTCTGAACTCCACTGGAGGGATAAACACCATTCTCTCAGAAGATATAGTGTTTTCATGATGTGATGGAGAGTGCTGTCTCAACATGTTGGTACAAAATCTCTTGTTTTTAACTGGGTTGAGATCTGGTGACTGTGAAAACCATCACATATGATTCCTTTTCATCATTTCACTCATCAACCATTCAGTGACCACTCCGATTACCATCGAAATGTTCACAACAACTTTTGTATTGATCTGCAGTTACTCCTCCACTGTGAGGGTCAAGTATTCAGGCCTGCACTGTTCTCTTTGGTGAACGCCACACATGCACTCACCCACTTGTCGAGAATATGGAGAAGGATCACTCTTCTGACCACATCCCTCTTTTATTTATTTATTTATTTTTACACATCTCTGTGGACCAGAGAACTTTGGCTTCTGCAACACTGAACTCTCAACTGTGTTTTCATCTTTGTAATGAGCGTTTATCTACTGCAGCATGACTATTATATCAATCTGTGTGCATTGATATTTTTAGACACCTGAGGAAGAGCTGATGTACGAGGATCACAGTCATCATAGATTTTTTGTCAACCACAAGTTTAATGATATCGTTCTGATAGAGCTAAATACAGATGCCAGATGTCGCTCCTAGAATGCTGGCAAGTTGAACAGCCTTTGTGATTGAGACTCCTTCAGTCTGTGCTAATGTTTCTTAGATATTTTCGTCTTTGCAACTGAGACACAAAATCAGAACTGGGCCTGCTCTCTATTTTCATGCATAGGATGGTGGAGTGTTAATGGCTTAATTGTACCTTGAACTGCATCTGTGTGGAAGCATCTGCATTTCTGATGTTTCCCCCTCATTTATTCAGGTTTATTTCTTTAATTCATCACCCATCTGTACATAAACATACAGTAAATACACACAAATGCACTTGCATGTATGCACAGCTGTTCCCTCATTTGCCAATTTGGTGAACGCAATTTTGCATGAATTCATGATAGAGCTATCACATCTGCTGACCAATTTAACAGGCAGCGTACAATCAAAGTGCAACTGTGTCAGTTATAGGAGTTGGGTGTGACTGAGAAAAATAATGTGGCATGAAAAGCATCTGCTGACATCTAATAAATAACTGGATCTGGGTTTAATGGAAGGATGAACATGCTAATGAACATTTTTTTGTAACAGATTGATTATGACTTTGAGACAGAATGTCATGAAAGTCCAAACTAGCAGCAGACGATTAGAGTTTGTTTAATCTAAGACTTAATACACTTTGCTTCGAAGAAAAAAATCCTCTTGAATCAGTTTGAGGAATATTATTTTCCTGAATATCAAAAAAACTGTGTGCATATATATGCACCAGATGTTTTTCTGTAAGCCTCTGTGGATTGCACACATTTTTAGCAAATGTTTGTGAGTGTTACACACTTCCCCTTCTCGCTCTCACAAACTGAACTCGTGTACCCGAGGAAAGGAGCCAGGGCACATGTCTCCGACTATCACTCATGTCCATGGTGTCTTCCAGAGGCTGACGGAGACTCACTGTGAGCTCCCCGCCGTCCTCCGACTTGAACAAAGGGGCCATGAGGCCTGTCTAAATGCCTTGTGTTTCTGTCATAATGGACAGGATTTCGTGGGATTTGCCCATTTATTACAACGCATTAACTTGAGCATATTACACAACACAGCGCTTCTGCCTAACCCCAATATCAACATAAGCCCCCTGTCGTGGACCCACTCATTGACTGGCTCGCTGGCTGAGTAGCTAGCTGCACTCTACCCCCTGCTCAGAGCTGTGTTTAGTGTTTATTGACTCTCTTGCCGTTTCTCTCAGCTCTCTCAGTTGGTTGCTCGGTTTTGCCTCCTTTTCTTTGTGTGTGTGCATGTCATCCTTTTACTCATATTCTCTCTGTTATGCTCTGTCTGTCTCACTTAATCTTACTCACCGCTGGCAAGCCTCCCCATTTACCGTGACTCATTCTCAAAAGCTTTTGAATTTTACATACACTGTTGCACAAAGTACAATCTTCATAACCTCAGGGCAGTGCATTTTCTTTTTTGACATGGGATGGAGACTGAAAAAATCAAAGCCAAAGAATACACTCAAGAGTATTAGCCCTACGCATGTGCCAGATTTGCTGAAGCCAGGTCAAGTGCATAGTGCCCCCGGAGTAATCTTTAAACTTGGTATAGCTATACATCAATCCTAAAACCTTTGAGAGATTGCAAATGACTGGACTTTATTTTAATGATGTGACCTTGAACCCTTAAGCCACGATCCTTGAGGAGCTAACCTCATTTCACTGCTGGATGCTGGGCGTTTATAAAATTTTGTTTCTAATCAGAAACTACAAAAGGTAATCCCCTGTGGAAAAACCCAGGCAAAGCTCGGCTGATTGTTTCTCTGGGTTGTATAAGCTCAGACATGCAACCAAAGAGGAACAACAGTGAACTTCAACAAGACATTCTTTTCATTCGCCTAAAGGCCATCTGTCTTGGTATCTGTGAGTGACGGTATGTGTTTCTGCTCATCCAACCATCTCTATCTTTGCCCTGTTTCCTCCCAGCGACCAGAAATGAATCAATGCCCCTGTCTTTGTCTCTACACCTTTGCGTTCACTCGTCTTTCAGAAAGCTCCAGGCCTCACCCACAACTATCGGATCCCCCTCCCACGCCGTGATGATGAATCCACCCTGCTCTCACCTACGGCACCTCACGGGACTGAGCGTATGATTTATGAGTCCAGCTGAAAGCTGACCAAAAGGCCACAGCCTGCCCCAACAGAGAGACAGACACAGGGGAGGGAGGGAGGGAGACAGACAAAGCGAGGAGGAGGTGGGCGCTATCGCAGAGAAAATGCTGAAAGGGGAAACTTTCTAATGCTGCCTATGTTTTGTAATTTCAGTAAGACAGATAAGTGGTAAGTGTGTGCACTAATTACGCGGCACAGAGGCTGTATGCTTGCAGGCACACGCATAAACACACACTGCAGTGGGCTTTTCTTTTCTGCAGACAGACAGTCGCTGTGTCGCTGTGTCTGGGCACAGATTGGTGGTTTTATAGACAGGGGGCAAAAAATAATACACACAAACTCCTAATGTGCAGGCTGAGATGTGCAGCAGGAATGATTGTGAGCTGCCTGCGAGGGATGGAGGGACAGTCAAAGGAATACGGACATGCACTTTAGCAGGGAAGTGAAATGTGCCATTTTCTTCTCCAATATTTTCACACATAGGCAAGCTCCCTTTTTGTCAAAGATTTGGCAGAGATGGGATCAAAATAATGAAGCATGTCTGCACCATAATTTACTCACTTACAGTGTAATGTCTTGATGCTCACTCACCACTGAGAAGATACTTGCACTGATTTTGTTGATGATCTAAAAGCAAAACGTCTCCAGATGAGAAGCATTAATAGATTTTTAGGAATGAAAGTAATGTTTAGATATTCTGAAATTCAAATGTTCTTTCTCCTTATTTTGCAATTAGGGTTTAAGTGCAAATGTTTAATAGCAAGGCATCTGTCTTTTCGGGGATTTGAACTCAGTAAATCACAGCTTCTACAGGAACAAAACTTCCTTGTTCACACAATTTAACCAACACGGCTGCCCATACACGCACACATTATTTGATAAACATACAGTAGAGCGTTAGGATCTAGATCAAGCCCCAGAGGGAAAACCAAAAGAAAAGGCCCACACATAAACATGAAGACAGATAAAAAAAACAGATGTATGTGACTGTGGCCTCCTTCCCACACACACTCACACTGTACTCTAATATAGAGATTAGTCACTCAGACAAGTCACGCTTGGGTCTAACCAGTGTGGGGACACTGCCTGTTCAATGCCCAAAGTAAATACTCTTTATTGTGTTGACCCTGCAGAAGTTAGACTGACCCACACACTGTATTAATTAAATGAATGATTACATAATTGCATCAAAGATACCAGCTCTTATTACACTGTCAGAAGTGATTGTGAATGAATGTAAAAGAAAAAGAAAATGTCATTGTTGGACTGATCAAATGTCCACACATGAGTGCTGATGTACACACAGATCAATATGTCAAAGGTAACAAATAATCAATACAGGCCTGATAAGCTACTGCACTTATACCACACACATCCTACCATCACCTACACTCCACATGCACGCACACGCACACCTTGGCAACACAGCTCCTTCCTGGCTCACTGACTCACCCACACTAGTGATCCTCTGTGTGACAAGGTCCTTGAGCAGAGCGTCCAGCACATGACTGTGTCTGCCATACAGCTCGTAACGGTTGATTCCAACGTGGAAACGCAGCCAGTTGGGGTACGATTCTGCCGTCACCTCTCCTGTCGGGGAGAACTCTTCCTCCTCTTGGTTCCCATCCTCATTGTGCCTGGAGAGGAGAGGAGACTTAATGAGAAGTTGTGGTGCAAGCAGATTCCCTTTGAGATTATTTTTAGTGTCTGTAATAGATGGGTACAGAGTATTTGTTGCTGTCTCTTAATATAGACTAACCCCATCAGACTTAGTGATGCTGGCAGAAGTGGCACAGAACACTCCATCTTTATAACACATGGATCTGTTAGTATCATTAATATGTGGTTTGAATGCAGCTACACTAACCACAAAATAATCAAAGTGTATACTCAAGAATTTGGCAGGATGAGAACTTGTAAGTTGCGTGCTCCGATTAATAAGACATGACAATGGCAGAGATGGGTGGATGCAGCAGATGGATGAGTGGACATTATACTGGAGGCAGGGAAGAGACAGAAACTGACAGGATGGATGGAAGGAACTGTCTGCTATATAGAGATGTATAGATAGATCGACATAAGTATATATAGATAGATGTTTAGATAGATAGATGCCTTTAAGTATATATAGATGGATGCACAGATGGATAGACTTGTAACCCTTTAAGTTGACTTTATTTATATAATCTTACCATCCTTGGTTCCCTGTTGCTCTTGGATAAAACCTGATGTCAGTGTTGACGTTAAACAAAGTGTCATCATCCGTGAGTGTAGGAAGGTCAACCTTGTATAAAGGATGCTCAAACAGAGTGGACAGTCTGGAGACATCGTGGGCATGCACGGTCCGACCCCCACTTGCATCCCCCATGAGCGGTTTGTGGTCCTCCGCCAACGGTCCCTTTCGCCTAACTGTGTCCGCTCTGTCGCCGGCGGCCGTGATCTTCTCCAGGGAATGGGACGTGAGGTTGGAGCTCGGCTCGTTGCTGAAATCCTGCAGGATCCTCAGCGTGTGCTTGTTAGGCCAGCCCGCTTCGGCCGCCGACCTGGCGCGCTGCTGCGTCCCCCAGCCCTGCGACTCCCCGGCCGGGTGATGTGCGCACTGGCAGCCGCCGCCGTCCCCGCTGTCCGCTCCCGCCGCCCGCTTCTCCAGCTTCGGTAACAAGTCTATCATGATGTGCATGGTGCACGCCACCAGGAACACCATCAGTATCAACACTCTGAATTTACGAAACAAGATCATCTTTATTTTTTTTATTTTCTGCACACTGACGAGGCTCAGGGCTTTTACGCGCGGCGCACCTTACGGCACCGACGTTGATGTCCGGCGCTGTTATTCGATGACAACGCAGCGATGTTTGCTGGAGGATTTACTACGATCATCGCGCACATAACGCGTGTGAGCTCATGTTAAAAACTCCATGATGCCATCACTCTGTTTTCTTACAATAGTCCAGATTTCTTCGCAGACAGGTGGACGCAGCGGCACATTGTGAGATCAGAACACTTCTTCACTGGCAGCGGCTCAGAAAGTGCTCTTCATTCATCGCGGTGTTGAATAGGATTCAGTGTCAGGAGGACGGACCACTACATAAATCGTTAGGAAGGAGAGAGAGAGAGAGGGAGACAGAGAGAGAGAGCGGTCCTGTTCTATTCTTCCTCAGAGCTGCTTCCTTGTGTTGCTGCCAGCACGAAGTGAGATGTCAAACGACGTCTTCTTTGTTAAAAAAGTAACAAAAAAGGCGATACAGGTCCACAGAATCACAGCCTCCCTGCTGGTCTGTTCGGGGTGATTTCATAATAATGATAATAATAAAAAGAAAAAGAAAATTCCTCGAAAATAACAGGTGACTCGTGGCAGAGATGCTTGGATGCTGTCCCGGCTTGTCGGCTGTGTGGTGGCAGGTGCAGGGATCCTGTTTGTCATGTGTCCTCTCCTCACTGCCGCCTTGTCTTCAGTCCAAGTGTTCATCCAGGGTGGGTGTGTTAAATATTGTGATCTCTGAGCCCAGCCTCGGTGGCGTCATGAGGAAGAGATTGGCTGCGTCTGCACATACAAGCAGCTCCACGGGGCCATGAGAGAGCAGAGCTGTGCACAGGGAAAACCGGCGAGGCTGCAGCCCTCCTGAATGCAGCCAGGGGGCGTTGGCACAACCTGAAACTGCAGATATAATATGTGATCGGAGGGGCAGTGGGAATGTAAAGACTACGTTCTTCAAAGTGCACTATAAGATTCCAAGATGCGTCCTGAGGAATCACTGAAATCATCTGCTTTCTTTTTCATGAGAGCTTCACAGATTTGTAATTATTACTTTGATAGACTTTATTTCTATAGCACCTTTCAAAACAGAATCACAAGATATCACAAGGCAAACAATGGGAAACAGCTAAAGATCAGACAGTGCCAGAGCACAGATTGTTACAGATGAGAAGAGAGTAAAAAAAGATTAACAGTAGTTTTCAGTCAGTACCTAATGTTTTGAAACAATTGTCAATCTATTCACATGGTGAACTGATATAGATTTAAAAATGCACTTGCTCTTTTGTGACTTTTGCCCTAATGTGCCTTATGTAATATAGTGTAGTTTTTGATAAGTGGATGACTGAAAACCACATGCAACTTGAATTACAGAGTTAATATAGGTAGCTGAAACATCCGTCATACTCAATGTGAGGGTGTATGTGTCTATCTATAATTTTAAAAGTTAAGCCGAGTTTGAGGCTTTTACTCTGCTGCCCTCATTTACACTTTATTTTAGACTTTTAAAATTTGATTTATTCAATCAAAAGGTTTCTAATCAGGTTATTTGTCGTCCAAACATTAATCATCTTTTACGGACATTTTGCAGTCAAAACGCCAGTACCTGCCTTCTCTGGGGCTATTTCTTCTATTTGCTGATAAAGTGTTGCACACCTTTCATTTAAACTGCGGGGGACAAAACACTCACACACTTACTGCGGTCGGCACTTAAAGCTGGGCTGGATTTCTCGGCGACATCACAGGATTAAACAAATCACATTTTAAGTGCTGTAGAGTTCATTCAAGCTGCCGACTGCGGGCCTTTTGACTCCCAGATGAAAATATGCAAGCGCACTCTTTAACCACGATGTCACAAAGCAGACAGGAATAGATGGCGAGCGAGAAATGTTTCCAGCTCAGGGGAATTGCACAAAGCAATAAAATGAACAAATGATACACATTCCATTGGTTTGTGTGATATACAACGCTCAGCAAGTGGGCTTGATTGGAAGAGCTTCACTTGGCTTCTGCCCGGACTCCCAGAGGGACTGAGTTGGAGTTCATGCCACTGCCAGATTTGTGCATCTAAATTAGTGAGGATCTTAAAGCTAACAAGCAAACAAATTGTTCTCCCAAAGGCGAGCCTGCTGTCTCAAATCATCGCCTACTCCAAACAAAACAAAGTGGCATGCACAGACACGTTTGAATCCACTGATATTAAAAAGGTATTGTGTAATAACGTAATTTGCTTCAGTTCATAAAGAGAAAATAAAAGGTTAACCACATATGAGACATTTTATTATGGAAGCTGTCTGAGTCTGTTTTGGCACACACAGACAGCTGTATCTGTAATTGTTAACTGAAAGTTCTACTAAAAAAGTTTTTAATCACCTTTTTTTGCAAATGGAAACTCTCTAATGTGAAACTGTATCATGAATCCTCTTCAGCAATTCTGTAAAAAGAGACATTGAGACATGATTCAGATCATTTTCACCGAATTATAATTTGAAGAAAGACAACGAAAAAGTAAAATGCATCCAATTTGTCCAAAGTACCTGTGTCTCCTTTGCTTTAATTTCATGACAAGGCGTCCAATTTGTATGATTTTCGGTAAGATTATTATGTAAAAGAATTTGTTTGGCATTTTACAAAACACAAGGAGAAAAATGGAAAACACCATGTTGATATTTTTACATCCACTGTGGCTGCTCTGTGTGTGTCCTGGAACTGGAGCAAACAGACTTTTTCTGATGCTTTGTTGCAGAAATCATCTGACAGTCATCCAAGGCACTGCAAGTCATGATGCTACAGTAATAATGAATGTATTCAATATTTAACAAATGACCATGTTAACAATGTAAAAAATGATGAAGCATGGCATCATCAACACATCTGGGCCACTGTGACCCAAGTCTCCAGAGGTAATTAATGTAGAGAAAGTGAAAAATGTTGAGTACAGAAATAATTTCTCTATATGACAGAATATAAGTCAAAGAACACAGAAACAGTCCCTTGAGTTTATCATATATTGATTAATAAGTAAAAAAAGTGATGAATGAATGGTTTTAGTTTTTTATGTGACCTAGTTTTCGGTAATAATAGACCATAATATTATATATTTTTTATCTCATCTCTAAGAAATAATGATTTCATAGTGCTTTAAGATTTTGTGGATTACATATTTTGGTTTAAAATTGTTCCCAGGGCAATTTCTCTGCATCAATTTTTTGCAAGCGCCTGGAAACCTTTGACCCAAAGAAAGAACGGTGACGAAGAATGAAGTAGTTCAGCTACGCGGGTATCTCATAAGTCATTCTGCATTTCATAGCTGCACCAGTCTTCTGTATTAGAGATGATTCACTTTGTGTTCAGAGTAAGATGGGAAGGGAGGAGAGAGATAAACAGATGAGCGAGCACTAAGGATTAATAAAGCAGCACATATACTCTGGTTTTGGTTTGGTTCAATTGGGATCCGCTGACAAATATTTCAATGTCTGTCTTTGTGTCTGATTATTTGACCCGAGGGCTCGTGGTTAAAAACAGACTCTGCAAAGTTCACCTTGCGATTCCAGACCACACTACTGTCAAATTACAGTCTGCATGAATCAAGGTTATATAATCACAGAACTGATGAAACTGATTTCTGAATCAAATTAATACAAGAATAATTACATTACTGCTCCCCATATACAAACCTACATTATCTACATGAGCTTGATGATTTGTTAGCAGCTAATTTCAAACTGAGGGATAAATGGCTGCGTAAATGTCATAAGTATAGAAGTTAATTGGAGAATAATGTGGCCGAGTAAAAGTAATAAAAAAAAAGATGTTTTGACAAATGGCTTCTCATTTAGCTGAGTCGGTTTGTTAAAAGAAAGGAGTGTGTGGCTGTGTGAGTCTGAACTAGTCACAGAGACGGAGAGAGAAAGAGGAGAGAACGATTGTGAGGGAGGCTGATGAGTAAAAAACGTACTCACTTGACTGAGTACATGCTGAAGCTGGACTTCTTTAGGGGCATGTGAGGGACATAGAATCCATCATCGACTGTAGGTGTCTCTGTACTTTGAGCTGAAAAAATTCCACCTACTAACTCATTGAATTTGCTTCTGCTCAGACCCACACTTTCCTTTGTCCTTGAAATAACTTATTTTCCTTTGTGTTGCAAACCTCAAATCACCCGTAGTGTGGGTGTTTGGTATACAGATATTAGATATATTAGATCATAAATGTTTCCTTCAATGTTCAAACTCAGAGAAATACACAGTTTTATTCAAGGTAATTGGATGTTTCATTTTAATCGCGTCATATTGCTTTACCAGTGGCTTTGGCCTTTCTGCTGTAACCTCTGACACAAACAGCAGATGATGAAGGAAAAGTACACTGCTAGCTTGTTAGCCAGTTGGCTGTTTTCCCCTTCAAGATAATTCATTGATGTGTTAACATGATGAGTCACGTCAGGTAGAGTTCCATCAATCTTAGTGGTGAAAACAACTCCCAAGATCCCACACTGCTTCACAACATCAGCACGCTTAGTCTTTTGTGACTGTTTTGATTGAGAGACCCCTAGTGGCCGCTGTTTAAACTTGTGACTTTAAATTTGACATGATTACATGCTTTCTGTTCCAGTTACTGCACATCAGTGCTGAATGGAATATGCTGAACACCTGCTACAAGCTTTTTAATGTGTAAAATGAATTGAATATAAAGCATCACTCTGGCACATGGATTGCATTAGTCTTTCATTGGGACCCTCTGCCAATCACAGCATGACACAGAATTAGAATAATGAGGCTGTTGGCATCATACACAGCAGTGCAGTGGTCCTGCTGCGTTGATCTCTTTATCTCAAAGACTCAAAGAGTGAAACTGAGCTCAGGGATTTTAAATTAGGGGATAGGGTGTGACCTTGGCACAGGAGGGATGGTTGTGTGTGCGCTGTGTGCGATCACGTGTGCATAACTACTAAAAGAGACATGACAGTGTTACAGCAGCAACTGAGGGCAATCTATCCGTCTTTTTGACTTTACTCTGAAGCTACTATCAATATTAGATGGGCTCAAGGATGATGGATGATGAAGTTTGTGTCATTTTAGATGCAAATACATGATAATCAAGATTTTGTTCCTCTGTTGATTAATTTGCCAATCAACATCTTGAGCTCTCATTGTTGGCTTAATATCTGACTAATTACCAACAAGAGCATGGAGTCTTTTCCTGTCGACCACGTGTCTGCTAATTGGTGGGAAGGGAAAGGCCACTGTCAATCAATCAATTTCTTTATTGTTACTTGTCTTAGTATGAGTGTGTATGTGTGGTAGTGTTCCTACACAACAAAGGGTTGGTGAGTCTAGACTGAAAAGACATCTTGTGCCCTTAATTGTGTGGGTTGTGTTTTCAATCTCCGTTTGACTTATTGGTCATTGAACTTAGCACAGGAACTTAAGTTTAATGACTTTGCACTGGAGAGCACTGTAGAGGGAGATTTATTATCTTTGCACCTCCAGCTTCCCTTTCACATATTGTTAACATGAAAATAACAGTTGCTGAAGATCAGATCCAGTGGCTTGGAAGGTTAAATTTAACACCTTGTCCAAAGGTTTGACAGCTCTACCCTCACAGCGGGAGAGGACAGGCCTGTGACCACTCACTGTAGCAGAGCAGAATCTTATATTTCAGCT